CCCGCGCTCCCTCTCCCAGAGATTCAGAAGTCGATAAGACCCGGAGAAGTGAAGATGTAACATGTTATCTGTCGCTCCTCTTAGCTGGCGGAGAGAATTTACATTTAAAGATTAGCAGAGGGAGAAAGAGAAATCTGCCTTTGTTGTGCGGGGTGAGGAGGAGGCATCAGCCCTGGCCTTGACGCTATCTCCCAACACCTCTGCTATCCAGACAGGACTCACCGAGGTGAGATTACCCGAGGGCCTTATCTTTAATTGGGTTTAGTTTTGCCAGTCTGAATAGGTTTAAAGAGTCTCGATAAAGGGGAAACAATAGATTATTTATTGACTGGACTTGGAAGCCTTTAGATGAAGGAGAGACAGAAAATGCTGCTTAACAACTTGATTAGTTCTTTAATTTTTTTTATTTTTATTTTAAGGCGAGGCTGTGGCCCTTCTGATGGAGCAAGAAAGGGTAGGGAATTTAGGTGTTATCTGAATGACTTCAAGTGTCTTGTTTGGGCTTCATTCCCACCCGGTCTTTCTGGGAGCCAGGCAGGCACCTGTGCTATTTGAAAGGAGTTTATTGGCCCCTCCTATTTAGGATTGACAAACAGGGCTTCGGGCAGAGGCTTCGGGCATTGGTCACGAATGCTTGGTTTTGTGTGATGTTTTGGAGGGTGTTGTGGTGACGCTGCTAGAGTCCTTGGATGAGTGAGATAGGCGAATGGAGCCTACTTTTAGTATGGAATGAGCTGATGCTCTAGTGTGGTTCAGCTCCTGCTCGAGAGGGAGAAAAAGCCACTCCACCTCTGTTAGGCAGATTTGTATTTAGGATGGGAGCCATCGTGTGTATGTGCGTGTGTGTGTGTGTTGGAGTCAGATAAAAAAGAAAATGTTTTCTTGACTAATAAATGTATTTAAAAATTCTACTAGCAACTTTAGAAGGCTCTTGAGTAAAAGTAGGATGATTACTGTTGCTGCTTATACATTGTCATGAAAGGTGCTTTCATAGGTAGATAGATATGATCCAGTAACTAAAAGCCTAATTAAAATTTGTTTAAAGCCAGAGGGACATGTTTCCTTGTTGACAGCGGCAGATCGATTGGATAAGACAATAGAGTCCCATTATTTTACTTCCATTGACTGAACATATTGACATTTCAGGTCTGCTGTTGCCTCAGTGAGCACCATGAAACACTAAGATTCACAGACCAACTGGTCAGAGTGGCACATGTATTACTGTGTGTCATTTCTGCCTTGGGGTTACTGCATCACCCAGGCAGAATGGGAAGAGACAGCCTGGAATCCTTTAGAAGAGGGGGTAGTGCTTTCCTGGCTAAGAATCTGAGAGCATATTTTAGGAGCATCATTAATTTTATGCAGAATTGGATGCTATGTAGAAATAGGAAGAGTGCTGTTTACTGCTTGATTTTATCTTTAAAAAATCTGAAATGTGATCTAGCTAACAATCGTGGCTGTTTTACATAAGAGAAGACCCATTTCCAAGATTTACCTTTACCCCTCTCTGGAGGCATTACAAGTGAGGTGTCTGGTCTGTCACACTTTATTTAGGTGACCAGCTGGTGCTCAGGTGATATCCAATCTTCCCCAGTTTGGGATATTCAAACAGATTTGCACCAGTTAAATCTATATCTGCTAAAGGAATAGGACTTGACTCTGAATTGTTTCTAGTTTTCTTTTGGTTGGTGGACAGTGCAGTGAATAGGATGTGTATATTTTATACTCATGTGCATGTATAGACAGTGATGTATCTAAATATGTATGTTCCAAACAAAAGTAGAGAAAATACTAAGTATTCCTTATCTTTTAAGCACTGTTTTGCACATTTTGTGTAGTCTTTACATAATCAAGTTAAGTATTAGGCAGACACTGAGTCAAATATGAACCATATAAAAAGTGAATATGGAAAAAAGCCAGAAAGGACCTAACATTTTTTAAAGTTTAGTGAAAATATGGCAGTATTATGGGTATGACTTCGTACACAGCATTGTTGCCATCAGGCAGGCAACTGATGGCCTTTACAGTGTTTAGAAAACTAGCCCTTTATACCATTTTCATGAAAATGTTAGGTTTCTATTTGATCAGCAGGTGCTGTTGAGATGAAAGCCATGTGTAAATTTTCAGAAGGCCAAAAGTGTCAATTCAGAAAAGGAAAGTGATAAGAGAAAATGCAATCAGTTTTCCTGTTTTCAATTTGTGCAGGATTTGAAGAGCTGTTTTGTTAAACTGCTACATCTGCTCCAATATGAATATTGAACTACTTCCACTAAAAATAACAACCTATAATTTGGAAGCTACTGCAGTCTTTTGTTAATGTGAGTGGGTTATTTAAAAAAAAAAAACAACAAAAAAAAATTAAAAAAAAAACAATTTTCTATTCTGACAATCTCTTGCCTAATGTGCATTTTCATTTGTTGGCACTTTTATCCTGAGCAGATAAATGGTATTATGCAATTAGGACCTCATCTTGTTTGACTATAAAAGAGGTTTCCATAGGTGAAAATCCTGGTAATATAAAAAGGGTTTGCACAAAACAAATTTTATTTTAGAGTAACCTTTTAAAATACATTTATTTAAAATGCGATAGTTATTCCTTACATTCTCTAATACTACAATTTTTAACATACTACTGACTATTATAACAAAGTTAACACTATTCCATTGCATACTGAGCATTCTGTGATTTATTTCACCTTTAATATACCCGCAAATGTAAGTTTAAACTAATCAGGGATATTTTACCTAACAGGGCTTTCAGAATAATTTTTTTCATGCTTAAATAAAATGATTAAATTATGCTTGAGTGGCTGCATACAAAAGCTTTAGCTTCTATAGTACTGCTAATCAAATAAATTTTATGGACAGGGAAAGCACCACATTAGAGAAAAATTGGATGCATTTTTCTAGTGACATTTCTAGGAAAGACATGTTCTTTTAAAATCACCTAGTGTTAAAAAGAAAGTGCTAACGTGTCTTAAATAATCACAATAAATAATACTTCATCCCTCTAATAAGAAAATGAGTAGCAGTGCTATCCATGTGAAACAAGGGTAGAGAGAATTAGGTAGAAGGGAGACTGATGAAATCTGGATAAGGTTCAATATTGATTCAATCCTTGATTGCACTTGGGTTGAATTGTGGCTAAAGTAATTTGTCCAGGGTGAGACCTGATCACTGCTTAGGATCAATTAGCTGTGTAGCTTGTGGCTGCACCCTTGAATGGCTAAACACGCTCTTCACAGATAAACCTAGACTATTCCAAGAATGAGTAAAGGGGAAGACACAGTGACACATAAACATTTGATATTACCAAATTCAATGTTTCTTCTGAAACACTGACTCAAAAATAAGAGGTAGTTTAAAGAATGGCATGGAATGGTACCGAATGTACTACTTGTATGTAGCCAGTGAAAGAATAATGCTCTTCAGGGATGAAATTTCCAATGTGAAGGCAAGCAGCATTCTGACGTGACATGTGCTGGCACAGCCTAAAGAGAGCTGGGTATCATGTGGGTGTGTCCTTGATAGAGGACCATGTACCCTGGCACTCCCGGGAAACAAGGCTGAATCACAGAGCATTGTTAGATAGTGTGCACAGACATAATCTCATCACTTGGGGTGTTTTGTCAGGAAACCACAGTCAGTACCTTACAAGGCTCCAATAGGAGAGGGATTCCTGAGACTTTTCAAAGTGCTTGAACTTTGCGATGTGATATCCAGGCTTTTAACATCAGAGCCTCTGATAAAGTAATGGAGCATAAATGGTGTTTGACACATGGGACCAGACCCTCTTGTTTGAAAAAGTTTAAAACCACCAGTGCTGCTTACAGGTACTAACATTTCCAGCAACCAAGAGAGACCAACATGTGAAATGCCCAGCTTTGGTAGTTCCCCCTTTGATTTGTTATGTAGTGTAACTTACTAAGGCATAAAGCAGTTATTTGTGTTTCTAGGTTTTGTATTGATCAAGGTCTCTGAGACAAATCAGTATTTGAGTAAATACAGCCTTTGGAATCTAGATCTTGCAGAAGAAGAATGCAAAAGGCCCAAATATAGAGTTTTTTTCATTGTGTCTGCAACCAATGTAAGCACCTCTAAGTGCCTCAGGGAATGTAATCGACTGGCTCCATTAATCTTTTTAACACCTGGGGCACAGACCACTTCTAAGTGTCTACTGGCTGCCACACAGCTTGTTTGGGAGAAGAAAAGGACTTGAGAAATGGTAGAGACCTACTATGAGTCTCACCTTAGCTTTCATCATTTTTATCACAGATGTTAAGTAAAACAACTGTAGATCTAAGACGGGTCAGAGTTGCTTTTCAGACTTAACCTTTTGGTCCAATTTAGAACACTGAAGTTTCCTTGTGTCCTCAATGTTAATGACCTACTTTGTGCCTGAGTTCTAAAATTCAGACCTCAATGTTGGATTCTCTCAACATGTGGCTTTTTTTTTTTTTTTTTTTTTTTTTTTTTTTTTTTTTTCATTTTTTTTTTTTTTTTTTTAGTTTCTTTAGCATCCATGAGCTTTGCACGACTGTTTTCTTTTATTTAGCCCCCTTTTTTCCCTCCTACCTGGGAATCAGAGTCGAAGATGAGCTGATTTATTCTTGGATGCTCCCGAGTAGGTGTCAGTCTGTATTCCTCAGTGTCTTCTAAAGCAGGTGTCTCTTTTCCTTGTCAGAAAACCTCCATCCTACACTGCCCTGAGCCCATGCAGACCCACCTGTTCCCTATGTTGAATCCATCAGCACTGTGGAGCAGCCTTGCATCCAGTATCCCTATGCTTGTCCCACCCCAGCTGTTCACGGTGTATCTTGATCCCGGATCTCTTGGTTAACCTGACCCAACTTCCTGGAAACCTCTTAAGTGAAGAGGGATTCTGTAGGTACCACCTTTTACTCTACAAAGGATTTGTAACTGGTGGTATGGTGTGAGGCCCCCTCTGTATTATAAAATAAGGATCTGGTGTGGGTGTGAAGTCCCCATTAGGCAAAGGAGGATTCCCGCTTAGTTCTGTCATTGACTTCCTGGGTGGCTTGAGGTACATCCAGCTCTCAGATGAATTCTGGAGGAGAAAGATAGGCATCTGTCATACATATGAGTCTCTAAATGGTGCTGGGTGTAGGCTTTGGGCATTTCTCTTGTTTAAGAGAGTGAAAATGTATTGTTTTTTGATGAGTGTTTGAGGGAAGCACCGTCTCTTCATATAGCTGGAGAGTGCCT